TTTTTTATTTTTTTTGGCAAAAAAGATTGGCTACATCTGTTGAATTGATGAGTATCTTTACTTTTAAAAAAATCTTGAGCAAATGTTAGAAACAATTACTAAGTCATTCAGCCTTGATGATTTTTATTTTTCCCGGCAGCTAGCATTGGATATGTGGAGGAAATTGATGGTTGAACCACTTCAGACCATCCTTATCCGAATGCTGCTCCGAGAAATCAAGAAGTGAGTGCTAACATTTAACTTTCTGAGTCTGTTCTGTTTTGCTGTTTGATGTGGTTTAAAAATAATACACAGTTGCATGGCTATTGACTGTCTTGGGCCTGGTTTTACTGTAATAAGCCTCATTTTACTTCTTACTGCCAGTATTTTAAAATTGCTTTGTAATCTTCTTTTTGCTTTTTCTTTTCTTTTCTTTCTTTTTTTTTTTTTTTTGAGGGGGGCAGATCTGGTCTTCACTTATTTCCTAATATTCTTAGTAAATAAAAAGTACCTGAGGGAAGTGACTTGTTGCTTTTCAATCCTGAAACCTCATTGACCTGTCAGGCAGTGCCCTGAGGAGTTTGTACATATAAAATTCTCAGTTTAAATCCTGGTAAGGATTACTTATTCAAGAACACAGTTTCTTCTAGTTAGTTGGTTACCTCTCAGCCCCAGTACTATAATCTGTAACTTGCCTAATATCGTGAAGTAAACTTATGGGAAAATAGCTTTCCCTTCTACCTGTAGCCCACAGTGGTTGACTCTTTACTTTATTGCTCTGTGAATACAGTTCGGGGTAAAGAAGGTTTTTCTGTGGAGTCCATAGTAGAACATCTCAGGATCAGCTCTGGCTTAGAAGATTCTTAGACTTCAGCTTTAGGGAAATGAAGGCACTATGTCAGTCATCAAATATATGTGTAATAAATTCCAGGCTACTGGAGCTGATGTTGCGGGAATTATCTAGAGCAGTGAATAGTGTGATAATGGCCCCTCTATCTGGATCCACTTTCCTCAAGAAGACCCAAATATGGAGTTTTTTATGTGAAGAATAATTTATAAAAGAATTGTTATTACTGTGTTACTCCCAGTAGGAAGTAGGAGGTTACACACACACACACCCCCCCCACACACACAAAAGAGGATAGAGGATATTTTTGAATTTAACAGTAATACCACATAGAAAGTAGGTAGTAGCATTTAGTGACTTGATTTGAAGAAATTGTCACTGATCATTTTTATGATTGCATTGTTTCCAAAGATAGAAATGGAGAGAAAAGACAGTAGTGAAGCAGTAGGGCTGGAACAATTTTCCTTCTTCTTTTCTCTGCTAAACTATGATTATCTAAAAAAACACTCTTAACAAGATTTATAAATTCTAATATAATTTCCTGAAAAATACTAACTTCTTTTTTGACTTGGAATTTAGCTATTGTATATTAAAAGTATAGGGAAAATATTATTATTCTTTCTAA